GCAGTAGCGGCCCTTGGTCTCCTCCAGGCTGCTCTCCAGGGACGCTTTCTGTGAGCAGGGAGAGAGGGAAGGAAGAGCTGGGGGTCACACCGGTCGCTCCAGGTCTCTGGGAGCATTTCTGGCAGTGCCTGAGCCGGACCCCAGCCGCCCCAGCCGCGGCACGAAGAACTCGGGAAAAGCTGCCCCACCATCTGAGCCTGTTTTTTCCCCATCTCTGCAGTGGGCCCATTGTCCCTGCGGTCCCACACCCAAGGACAGGGACTGTTCCGGGCCTTCCTACCATGCTGAGCTGGGACTGCAGCTCGATCTCCAGGCCTTGGAGCACCCTGCGGAGCTCCGAGACCTCGCTGCGGCCGCTCCGGATCAGGTCACTGTTGGAGGCCACTTCCTTGTTCAGCTCCTCGGTCTGGGGCGGGAGAGAGCAGCGTGAGGCCCCCGGAGCCTCCCCACCGGGCAGCCGCGGCGGGTGCGAGGCCCCAGCCCCACCTTGCTCAGGAACCAGGCCTCGGCATCCCTGCGGTTCTTCTCGGCCATCTGCTCGTACTGGTCGCGCATCTCATTCAGGATGCGGCTCAGGTCCACGCCGGGGGCCGCGTCCATCTCCACGTTGACGTCCCCGCCTGTCTGGTTCCGCAGAGCCAGCATCTCCTGGAGAGGGGCAGAAGGGGCTGTCAGATGGGCGAACCTCTCTTCTGCCGTTGGGCAGATCTGCCGACTCCCCGCAACCAGCCTGGACGCCCCAAAGCCAGCAACGCCCCCACCTCCTCGTGGTTCTTCCTCAGGAAGGCCAGCTCCTCCTTCAGGCTCTCGATCTGCATCTCCAGGTCTGAGCGGGTCATGGTCAGCTCGTCCAGCACCCTGCGCAGCCCGTTGATGTCGGCCTCCACGCTCAGGCGCAGGGCCTGCTCGTGCTCGTACCTGGCGGCAGAGAGGTCAGAGCCTCAGCCCCTTCCTGGCCGCTCCCGCGCACGGAGAGGCCTGCTGGCCCCACGGCCCCCGCCCACGGCCCCCGCCAGCCACCGTGGCTGCTTACTTGGTCCTGAAGTCGTCAGCAGCCAGCCTGGCGTTGTCAATCTGCAGGACAGACTGCGCGTTCTCCGTGGTGGCCGTGAAGATCTACAGCAGGCAGGGAAGGACAGGGGTCAGCAGGGAACACGCTGTGCAAGGGCGAAGGGTGCAGAGGGCAAAGGGAGCTCCCCGAACTTGGGGTCACCCAGCTGGCAAGTCAGGTCCTACGCTTCCTGAGAGGCTAAGACGCCCTGTCCTCCCGCATCTCCCGCGCCCTCCCAGCCTCGGCAGAGAAGCTGAGTGCGGACAGCGACAGCCGGTGTTGCTCTCCCTCACCGGACGCAGTGGTGGGGGCTAGGAAGGGACTCTTGGCCACCGCTCCTCGGATGGGGCTCCTCCCCCCAGTGCCTCAGTCTCCCTGCCTGTAAAATGGAACTGCTACAAAGAGGTCCCCGAGGGCCACTGCAGCAGAGGCACCCACCTTGTCCTTCAGGTCCTCAATGGTCCTGAAGTAGGGGCTGTAGTCTTTGATCTCACTGGGCCGCTGCCGCTGGTACCAGTCTCGGATCTTTACCTCCAGGTCGGCGTTGGCCTCCTCCAGGGCCCGCACCTTGTCCAGGTAGGAGGCCAGGCGGTCGTTGAGGTTCTGCATGGTGATCTTCTCATTGCCAGAGAGGAGCCCATCGCCACCGCCAAAGCCAGCACCAAAGCCACCACCAAAGCCAGCACCAAATCCACCACCAAGGCCAGCACCAAAGCCACTGCCGTATCCTCCACCGAAGCTGCTGCTGCTAAAGCCACCGCCATAGCCACCCCCCAGCCCGCAGGCTCCCCCGGAGGAGAAGCGGGAGGAGGTGACCGACAGGCCCCCGTAGGTGCTGGGGACCCGGCAGGAAGAGACGCGGCCACCGATGCCGCAGGAGCCCTTCATGGAGCTGGAGGAGGTGAACTGGCGGCTGCAGGAGGCCATGGTGCCCGGGAGGGAGGTGAGGTGTCGAGCAGCTGGCAGAGAGAGAGCGAGAACAGGTGCTGGGAACTGGATGCTGAGGGTGCTGCACACCGGCCCTTTATGTGCACCCGGGCCAGGCGGGGCCTCCTCGCGCTGACGGCACGTCCCGACTTCGTCACTCCATCCCCAGCCAACACCCCACTCCGGGTTATTCAGCCGGGTGGACTCGCTCTGCTGTGTGCGGCTCTGAGTTCCCACCCAGCTCCAGGGTGTGGGGCCGAGAGCGAAACACGCGAACTGGAGTCGGGTGACTCAGAATGGGCGGCAGCGTCTGCCGGGTCCTGGAGCCCGAGGGGACAGCGGGGACTTGGGTGCAGGCGGCACCATGGCGGCAGCGTCCCCAGGCAGTGAATCAGCGGCAGCAGGAGTGAGCCCGCCACAGAGGCCCCAGCGGTACCCGCCACCGCCAGAGCCGGCCTCCCCAGCGCCCGCTGCGCACCCCGCTGAGGAGGGCTCCCCTCCCCTCCCGGCCTGTCTTCCTCCGTGCTCACGAAGTTGGCAGGGTTCTTTCTAGGTCTAAAATTCCAAAGCCATTCTTTCCATGAGGTCCCAACCCGGGTTCGGTGGCCTCTGAGCCTCCGCCGTGTCCAGGAGTGGGTCTGGGGGCAGCTGCCCGCCACGGGCCACACAGCCCGCACGCGCCCTCACCCCTCTGGGCCTCGGCCGTCTCGCCTGGCCGAGCGTGGGACACGACACCATCTCCAGGGCATGCGGAAGGAGGAATCAGCTCAGCAGCCCCTCGTGACCCACCCTCTGGCACCCCACACAGGGCCCGCATGCCCCAGGTGATGAGCACCTCAACACCTGCCGTGCGGAAGGGGGGGCCACCCACCACTGATGCTGCAGGTGACCCCCGCGCGGCCACAGTGTCCTTCCCGCTGGGGGCTGTCCCACTCCGCCCCTTCCATCCGAAGGGGAAGTGGCCCTACAGCCCTCTCAGGCCTTGTGCAGTCCTGGGTGCCGTGTGGTCCTACGCAGGGTGCCCTGGTCCTGCCTCGGCCCACAGGATGGGGCCGGGACGTGGAAGGCCGGAGACCCGGGGCCCCAGGCTCAGTCCCTCCCGTCCCATCTCCCCGTGTCTCTGCAGCCTGTCTGTCACACTTCCCTTCTTTTCTCCCTGTCTCCACACCAGAGACTGAACCAGGGCCTCGGGGTCCCAGTTGTGTCCTCTCCTTGACCCTTGAATTAGCCCTGTGGGTGAGGAGGACGGAGTGAGAACCCCAAGTCACAGAGATTTAAGCTGCGGAGTTAGTCTGGACCCGATTGCCCTCCCCGGCTCCCGTGATGCCTTGCAGCTGGGGGTCAGCTCTGGCCTCTCTTGAGCCCTCCCAGCAGCGTCGGGTACAGCTCTGTCCGCAGCGGTGACCTCTGCCCTGGAGCCAGGCCCGGCACTTGGGATTGGAAGGGTGGGGGAAGGAGATGAGGGCCCAAGGGCAGAGGTCCCACCGCAGGCTGGGGACGGCTAGCAAGGTCACCCAGGCCTCCAAGCCCCTGCGGAGAGAGGGCAAGGTTCCCCAGGGCAGAGGCTCATGGAAGAGGATGGGGGGCTGGGGATTCAGCTCAGCGGCACAGCGCCTGCCTGGCAAGAGCAAGGTCGTGAGTTCGGTTCCCGGTACCGGAAAAAAAAAAAAAAGAACAGGATGGGTGCATTCATACCCAGCTCCAGCCTCCTCCCCATGGTCCACGAGCACCCACCCTGGGGCTCCGGACACTCCGTCCTGTGCGTGCCGTGTACGCACATGCACACACACGCACACACTCACCTCCACCCAGGCCACACACGGGCCGGCCCCAAAGGGCTCCACAGCACCCAGGCCGCACTCCCACCCACACCCCGCTCTGCAGCCAGAGGGAGGAGAGCATGGCAGGGCGTCTGGCTCAGAACTTCCGTTTGACCCTGGAGCGAAACCCATGGCCAGAAACACACCACTGCTGCGGGAAAGCCCGGGGGCCTGCACCCCAAGACGCAGCTGGAGAGGGGCCCCAGCCTTGGCTGGAAAGCGGGGAGCTGCCCTGGGAAGACCCTGAGCAGGAGAGGCCGGGGGACCTGAGCCGGCAGGGAGAGAGGATTTCCTCCATGCCAACGGCGCACCTGTGCCAAGGTTGGCAAGGCCAGGGCCACTAAGCCGGGGGCACAGGGCAAAGGCTCGAGCCCGGCTGGCACCCCTCCAGGCACTGGGTCCCCTTCCTCCCTCCTCCACCGCACCCCTTCCCACTGGCTGGGAAGCGCTGCTGGCCAATGCCCTGCCCCCACCTCCTGCGGTCCCCGTGACTGACTGGTCACCCGCTGCTCGGAGCCCTGTGTCAGCATCGCCGAGACAAGCCCAGTCACGGGCTGTTTTACAAGCTCTCGCAGGATGCCCAGGCGGGGGAGCCCGCAGGCAGCCCCGGGAGCTGGGCTGGGGTGCGGGGGCATGGAGCGGACAGACGGGCTGCCGCAGAGCCCTCAGCCAGGCCGCGGAGGAAGAGAAGAGCCTCCCTGAGCCGACGCTGGGGCAGCATGGAGGCAGAGCCGGGGGTGAGGCTCGGGGGGGGGGAGGGCTCCACTCCTCCCTGGGACCAGGACAGCAGCGCTATCTCGCGGGCAGGTCGGAGGATGGGCCAGGAAGGAAATAAAGCTGCTGGCGACTGGGACCTGAGCTGCGTTCGGGGCCAGACTCTGATTCCAGGAGCAAGGCTGAGAAGCCCTCCAAGTGCAGACTGGAGGGGGGAGCGTGGTCCAGACGGCCCTGGTACTGTGTGGCTGGCGCGTGATGGGGCACAAGGGCATATAGGGCACCATAGGACCTGGCACCAGGGCTGACCAGATGCGGGTGCTTGGTCCTCTGGGAGCGCCCTGTGTCCCCCGCCCCTCAGCCCCCGTTCCTGGATACACTGCTGACCCAGGCTCCGAGCCTTGCACCATGTCACGCCAGAGGTCAAGGTCACCCTGCCAGGGTAGTCACTGCCCCCTGGGGCCGGGCCTGGGGCTGGGGTTTGTGTCTGTCACAGGAGAGAGGTGACAGGACTCCAAGGGAAGTCACGGCTGGCGGGGCTGGCGGTGCAGGGGAGCAGTGAGCCCCTCCACGGGCCCAAACTCCTGCATCCCCACGGGAGGTCACAGTGGCCCCGCAGCTCGGCCATGTTCTGGTGCTGGAGGGAAAGCCATCAAAGTCCCTGTGCCTCCCCCTGGGGACCGCTCATTTGTCTGCAGAGGGGGACACAGCCGGGCCAGGGAGCAGGGCAGGGTGGAGGTGGGGCCGGCGCCTCTTCCAGCACAGGGTGGGGCCCCGCCCCGCTGCACCCCATCACCCAGTCACGGGGACCATGGCTGAGTCACTGCTCCACAGAGCCTCGGTGTCCCCCACCACACAAAGCAGCGCCACTCCCAGGTCCCCACTTCCTGGGAACACCGTTCCCAGCAGTGAGCTCATTTCCCGGGATCAGCCACCCGCAGTGCAGCCCAGGGGCCGGTCCTCCTGGTCCTGGCTGACACGTGGAGGCAGGGCAGGGCTGCTCCTCCCTCCCATCCCCATCGGAGATGAGGGGCTCCGCTCTCCGGGGGCCCTGAGTTCCTCCGGTCCCTGTGGCTCAGCCAGCCTCGGACAGGAAGGCACAGGCGGGGCGACCTGTGGGACTGAACGCCCTGCGTTTTGTCCTGCAACTTCTGGGCCCGAGACTAAACCAAGTCCCCACACCTCAGAGGCCTGCTCATCCCAGCCTCTGCTGGACCCAGGCCCCGCTGCTCCAGGCCCAGAGGCTCAAAATGCTCCCCACACCCTGCTCATACCCCGCACCGCCTCCAAGCAGCACAAGAAAGCGGGGTGCCTGGTTCAACTCTGCGTCTCCAAGACCAGTCTTGCAGTGGGTTGGGGGAAACACACCTTCTGCCCAACCTTCCAAAAACAGTCCCGGAAAGACACGGGGATGACAGCTGCCCCGGGGGCTTCCGGATTTACTCGAAGGAAGATTCCAGGCCGCGGTTAATGCCTGATTCACCTCCCACAGCTGCCCAGCCCTAACTCTGGCCTTAATCCTAACCCTAACTAACAACCCATGAATCTAACACTAATCCCTAATGCTAACTCTAACCCTAACCCTAACCCTAACCCTAACCCTAACCCTAACCCTAACCCTAACCCTGACCTCCGAGCAGCAGGAGAAAGCGGGGTGCCTGGTTCGACTCTGCGTCTCTGACACCAGTCTTGCAGTGGGTTGGGGGAACATACCCTCTGCCCGATCCTTCCCAAAATAGTCCGGAAAAGACACAGGCAAGACAGATGCCCCGGGCGCTTCTGGATTTACTTGAAGGAAGATTGTAGACCTGGGCTCCTCCCCGATTCACCTCCCACAGCTGCCGAACCCTAACCTTGCCAATAATCAGAAACCTAACTCATAACCCATGAACCTAACCCTAACCCTAACCATAACCCTAACCATAAGCCTAAAGCTAAGCATAACCCCAATCCTTAACCCGAACCCATATCCCCGACTTCAACTCTAACCGCTAACCATAATACTAACTCCTAACCATAACCCTGCTCCTAACCCTAAAACTAAACATAACACCTAACCCTACTCCCTAAACCTAGCCCCTACCATAACACACACTCCTAACCCTGACCCTAAAGCTAAGAACAACCCTAACCATCAACCCTAACCCTAATCCCTAATCCCTAACCATAATACTAATTTGTAACCCTACCACTAAAACTAAACCTAACCCCTAACATCTAACTCGAACCCAAACCCCTAACCCCTAACCATAATACTGATTCCTAAACCTAACCCTAAAGCTAAGCATAACCCTTAACCCTTAACCCTAACCCTAATCCCTAACTCTAACTCTAACCCCTAACCCCTAACTCCTAACCCCAACCTCAACCCTAACTTTCCCTCCAGAACGAACCAGGGCTGCTGCTCCGGGGTCCAGGACAACCCCTGCACCCCGCCCTACGATGCCCTTCCCCACCATTCTCCCTGCCACGCTCACCCCAGGTAGGTACCCAGGGGGACCCCAGAGCCATTGCTCCAGCCAGAACCACTTTATGGGTTCCCTGCCTCTAGCCATTTGCAGAGCAGGCCATGAGGAGCCCCACCCTTTCTCTGCAAGCTCCGACCTTCCCCTCCATCCTGGGTGGGGCCGCAGGAGCCCTACGTGGGGTTTCCTGAGACCCCACAGGAGCCCAGCCCCCGCTTCCCAGCCTGTCTACCCCACCTGCCCACTCTCCTGCCTCGGGAGCAGCAGCCGACAGGATGAGTCACCCTGGGATCCGCTCTGTGCCTGGGCTCTGCCTGTCCATTTATGGAAGAGAAACCAGGCTGCGCCTAGGTGCAGAGCTGCTTCCAGGACCTGAGGATGCTGCCGGGGACCACTGGATACTGTGTCCGGATCACGGGGACCCAGCGTGCCCTACAGCCGCCCCCACGCCTCTCGACCTGGTCTAAACCGACCCTGACCTCCACATCAACCACAGTGGGCGTCAACAGACCGGTCCCCCCTGCTGCCCCTCCCCGCCCACCCACACGGGGACCAGGAGCAGGACACGGGCTGCATCTGAGTCAACAAGCTTTATTGGTGCCAGGCAGGGGGCGTGGGGAAGGGGCCGATGCAGAGGGCAGGGGCTGGAGAAGCTGGAGGCTGCAGGGCAGAGGGGGCAGCCGTGTCCCTGCCTCCGGGGGCGCGGGGCGGCCGGCCGGGAGGGCCCGGGCCTCAGCGGGTGGTCTGGTGCACCTGCTCCCGGGAGGAGATGACCTTGCCATCCTGCACCTCCTCCACGATGGTGCGCACCTGGCGGGTGGTCACAGCTGCAGAGACAGACGGGACCCCAGCATCGGCCACACACGTCCCTCTGCCCCTGCTCCATCCCCGCGGGTGGCCCTGGGTGGGTCTGACGTCCCCAGTGGGTGTTTGACTCTGACCCACAGTGAGGCTGTGCGCTGGACCCCCCGTCCAGTCTCCAGGGCGTGGACCACACTCCTCCCCCCGCCAGCCTGCGATCTCCACGGTGAAAGCCGGGCCCAGTCACCCCCATTAGACAAGGAGCCCCAGGGCTAGGGCCAGACTGGGCTCTGGAGGGAAGGACAGTGTCCCTGTCTCCCACCCACGGGATCCCGGGGACAGGACAGCTCTTCCCATCTGTGGTGTCCCAGGAGCACGGACGCTGAGGCCATTGAAGGGGTGTCCAGGGCTGGGCCCACATCTCCCCAGCCCCTCCGGGGTAAGGACCCGCTCCCTGCCCCGCCCCTTATCAGAGCCGTCTCTCCTTTGGCTCTTACTGTGGGCATCAGACCAGAGCCCTAAAGGCCCCGCTCGCCTGTGCCAGTTCCCTGGAGGTCTTTGGGGACCCGAGCCCAGATGGCGGTGGGTTTCCTGCCCCACTTGCACCCCCAGCCCTCAGCCACAGAGGTCCTTACGTTCTTTGGGCTTGTACTGAGTCAGGCTGCAAGAGAAAGACAGGTGGAGAGGTGATCAGACGCGGGTCTGAGCGTCCCTCTCCCGCCCCGGCAGCCCCCAGCCCTGGCCGGGCACTCACTGGGCGTCCTCGCCCTCCAGCAGGCGGCGGTAGGTGGCGATCTCCTGCTCCAGCCGCGTCTTCACGTCCAGCAGGATCTTGTACTCCTGGCTCTGCTGCTCCATCTCGCAGCGCAGCTGGGCCAGCTGCTCCTCCACGCTGCCGATCAGGCCCTGGATCTGCGACAGCTGCACGCAGTAGCGGTTCTCTGTTTCTGCCAGGCTGCCTTCCAGGGACGCTTTCTGCAGGAGGGCGGGGGGCAGGGGGTTGGTGAGGGTGGCGGCACCCGCCTCCGGCCCCGGGCCCACCCGGTGCACGGCCGCGTGCCCACCATGCTGAGCTGGGACTGCAGCTCGATCTCCAAGGCCTGCACGGAGCGCCGCAGCTCGGAGATCTCGCTCTTGCCGCTCTGCACCAGCTGGCTGTTGGTGGCCACCTCGCGGTTCAGCTCCTCGGTCTGCAGAGGGGACGGGCGGCATGAGCCGGGTCTTCCCCAGCAGCCCGGGGCCAAGCAGCCCCAGGCTCCCTCCCAGTCTGGCCACGCCGCCTTCCTGACCTCCCCTGTGCCCCTCCGCCTCCTCCCGAAGCGGTGCCTCCCCCCAGCCCCCCCGCTCCCCGGGCCAGGCATCTGCTCTCTGCAATGTCGCGCTTTGATTGTTAATCCCTGCAGGTGGGAGGCCAGGAACCGGAAATGTGAGAGCCAGCCAGGACCTGCAGCCGGCCCGCGCTGACTGCAGGCCGCCTGGGAGAGGCGGAAACGCCCTCCGGGGTCTGCACCCTCTGCTTTTATTCCATGGACCCGCTCCCCAGGTTCCCACCCATGCCCAGCTCCCAGCTCTGCGTGGGTGGGGCTGGCCCTCACCCCCCAAGCCCAGGGCCCCACAGGGCACGGGGCACCCCTAAGAGACAGGCACTAGGCCGCCACAGGGCCCAGGCCCCTGCACCGCCCGGCCTGCAGCAGCCCCCACCTTGCTGAAGAACCAGTCCTCCGCGTCCTTGCGGTTCTTCTCCGCCATCTTCTCGTACTGGTCGCGCATCTCGTTCAGGATGCGGCTCAGGTCCACGCCGGGGGCCGCGTCCATCTCCACGTTGATCTCGCCGCCCACCTGGCCGCGCAGGGCGTTCATTTCCTGTGCGAGCGAGAGATGTGGGTGTGGGCGGCAGGGCCTGTCCCCGCCCCCCCCCCCCGGACCCTCCTCGAGTTTCCAGTCACCTGCCGTTACAGCCCTGCCCGCACCATCAGCCTGGGCCCTCATTAAGCCAATGTGATTCTTAGGCCTTTGCTCCCCCAAACTGCCCCTCTGTCTAACTTCCAAACACCCTCGTGGGGTTCGGACGTGAGGGTCCCACAGGTGACTAAGCCAGGCGCCCGGCCGGCTGTCTGCCAGGGCCCTGACCGCAGCCCCACCCCCGGCGCCTCCGCCCACGCCTGGGCCTCGATGACCCTGGCAGCCCTGGCCCGCCCACCTCCTCGTGGTTCTTCTTCAGGAAGGCTAGCTCCTCGTTCAGGTTCTCGATCTGCATCTCCAGGTCGGCCCTGGACAGGGTCAGCTCGTCCAGCACCCTGCGCAGCCCGTTGATGTCGGACTCCACGCTCATGCGCAGGGTCTGCTCCGTCTCGAACCTGCACAGGGAGCCAGGGCTCGTCCAGGCTGCTTGGGCCGCAGGTCAGGTCCCCGCTGCCCTGCCCTCCCCAGGACTCATGCGGGAGGATGGAGGGCGCAGTGGAAGCAAAGCCGGCCCTGGGCTGAGAGCACCGCAAGACGGCCCCACCCCCGCGGGCTCCCCCACCTCTCCCGGCTCCTCTGGGACTAACAGTGGGCTCAGCTGCAGGATGCCCCCCAACTCCTGGACCCAGCCCCGGCCCCCACCCTGCACCCCTCACTTGGTGCGGAAGTCATCTGCAGCCAGCCGGGCATTGTCAATCTGCAGCAGGACGTTGGCGTTATCCACGTTGGCCACCAGGATCTGGGGAGACCAGGAATGAAGAGGTCATCGTGGAGGAAGCAGCCGGACCCTGACCCGGGCTCTGAGCCAGCCTCCTGCCTGGGGCCAGGACACACCCTTCTTCTGGCCCAGCCCCTCCCCTACCTGCTGCCTTCGCAGTCTGAGGAGCCAGAACTACCTGCATCCCTCTCCCCCTGAGTATGGGGGACCCCAGGCCCCATCCAGGCTCAGCCTGGAAGTAGAGGCTACACCGATATGGAGGGGGCAGAGCCAGGGGAGGTGGTGAGGATGCGCTGGGGCAGGAGCTGTCCCAGGACTCCAGGGAGCGGGACAGGCAGGGAGCCCCATTGGACAGTGGACAAGGGGTGCCCCTGAGTCCTCCTGGGGTGGCGGGAGGAGCCCTCCCCCGCAGTGGCTCCACATCAGCAGCTGGATCCCCCTAAGCCGAAATCCCGGGCTCCAGCCAGCAGCCACGCCCCCGGGGTCTGCTGAGCCCATCCGCAGGGGCAGGAGGAGGAACAGGAAGCCCCGAGGACCCCTGGCAAAGCCCAGCCTGGGTCTGGCTCACTTCAAGGTCCAGCCCCTCCTCCCACAGGTGCCACATGCGACCCCTGACCCCACTGTCACTCAGCCCGTCCTGCTGACCCTGCTGCACAGGACAGGGAGCCACACACCCAGAAGCCCACATGGCCTCGTGCCTCAGCCCAGGGCCACATGCACTGACAGGAAGCTCTGGGGCTCCCCAGGACTGAAGGCCCCAAGGCCAGAGCTGAGTGAGGATGCTGCCAGGTGTCCCAGGCCGGGCTTCCCCCGGGGCACAGGTGGGGAGAAGCCACATTCCTTCCCACCAGCCAGCGGGCCCACCTTGTTCTTCAGGTCCTCGATGGTCTTGTAGTAGGGGCTGTAGTCACGGACGGGCCCGGGAGCCTGCTTCTGGTACCAGTCTCGGATCTTCACCTCCAGCTCGGCGTTGGCCTGCTCCAGGGCGCGCACCTTGTCCAGGTAGGAGGCCAGGCGGTCGTTGAGGTTCTGCATGGTGGCCTTCTCACCTCCGCCCAGCAGCCCGTCGACGCCCCCCAAGCTGCCGCCATAGCCGCTGCCGGAGCCAAAGCTGTAGCAGCTGGAGAAGCCGCTGCCGCCCCCAAGGCCGCTGGCCGAGCCCAGCCTGCAGGAGCCGCCACCCAGGCTGCCCGAGAGCCGGCAGGAGGTGCGGGATGAGCCGCCCCCGAGGCCCGAGGAGCCCTTGATGGAGCTGGAGGAGGTGAACTGGCGGATAGTGGTGGTCATGGCGGCGGCGGCGAGGAGCGAGAGAGGCGCCAAGGTGCTGCGGCTGCCGGGACCCAGCGGCCCTTTATAGGCCGCCGAGTGGGCGTGCGGTTACAACAGCCTCTTGCTCTGTTTCCATTCCCCTGGGCTTTCATCACCGCTGGCCACCCGCCAGCTCCCAGGTGGCTCTGCCCCCCCCCCGCCCTCCCACCAGGGGCTCAGCCTGGTTTCTGTGAAGCCCATGCGTGTTCGCGTGTGCGTGTGCATGTGCGGCGTCCACGCCCGGCTGTCACCTGTGATTCAGGCAGGCCCCGCAGCTACGCTTTCCCATGACCTAATACGGACAAGAAGGGAAGCTGGGACGTCACGGTCACCGGGCCTCCCACGCAGCTACCGCCCCAACCCGGTCTGAGATGGGGAGGAGGGCGGGGTCAGGCATCCCCCCAGGTGGTTCCCTTCGCTGGGGTGCACCCTTCCCCTCTCCAGGCCCCAGCCCCCATCCTGCCGGGGTCGCCCTTCTGGCCCCCCGAGGACACACTCCTGGGGCTAAGGCTCCCTCTGGCCAGTTCTGTGACCCGGCCCTGACCCGAGGTCCCCTGGGGCTATCCAGGGCCTGGGGGCGTTGCAGAGATGGGTGTCATGGTCAGAGGGTGTCTGCAGGGGCGGAGGGCTCATCCGCGTCCATACCCCACCCCTCCTGCACCCCAAGGGGTAAGAGGCAAGGGCACACATCTCAGGTCCCAGCCACTGGGAGACTGCCCTCCCCGGGGCCCCAGGGTGGCAGTGGGCCCCACCCACCATTCCCAGCCTGGACCCGGGTCCCAGGGCTCCAGCAGCCCCGCTGGACGGAATGTGCTTGTGTTTCCACTGCCGAGGGTTCCACCTCCCAGGCAGGCCCGGGCAGCCGCCAAGTTTTCCCAGTCGCCCGGCAGCTGCCAAGCCACCAGGCAAACGGGATGCCCCCCTCACCCCCAGCCGGGCAGGCAGGGCCGGGCTGGCTTCCGGGGCGGCCCACTGCCACCCGCTCGTCTCCATGGGGCTCTGACCCTCCCTGGGAAAGCCCCCCGCCCTTCCCTCTGGTCCCTCGCCCGGGGCTGAGGCAGGAGCCTCGGTGACAGGCGTGGTCCAGGAGAGACTGCGGGGGGCCTCGAGGGGCCCAGCCACAGGAAGTGGGGCCCAGCGCTGAATTCTGAGAAACTTCTATACCAAGCCGTCCCTCGGCAGCCTCTGCCCAGCCCAGCCCAGCCCTCCCAATGACCAGACCAGATGGCAGCTTCAGGGATACAACTCGGCAAAGCTTTAATAGTGGTGCCCAGGGCGGTCGAGGAGGCCCTTGCTGAGGGGCCGTAGGCAGCCGGTATAGAAAAGCAACAGCTCTGGGCGCTGCCCGGGGGGCACCCTGGGCTTGGCAGTGCCGTGCCCGCAGCCCGGGCCACACGGGAGGCCTCAATGGGTGGAGCGGTGCACCTGCTCGCGGGAGGACACCACCTTGCCGTCCCGCACCTCCTCCATGATGGTGCGCACCTGGCGGCTGGTCACCGAGGCTGCCAGGGGGGACAGGCACGGGGAGCCTCAGGCCCAGCCCCTACCTCGCCGCCATCCCATCCGCAGCTCCCCCGGGCAGGGCAGGGCGGTCGCTGGCTCACCTTCCCGGCTGGACTGCAAAGCCATCGACGAGGAGTACTGAGAAGCCAGGCTGGGGAAGAGGGCGGCTGTCAGCCCAGGGCTCCCGGGGCGCTGCTGGACAGGTGGCAGCTGGGGAGCCCCGGGAGGAGGGGAGAGAGGCCCCCGTGGGAGGAGGACCGGCAAACGGGCCCCAGGTTCAGAGGGCGCAGGGCAGGCAGGGAAGAAGGAAACACACAGCCTAAAGGTGCTTGTGCTACTGTGGCCACCAAGCGGGGTTTACGAGAAGCCGCTAAGGAGTGGCGGCTCCGTATCCGGAAGGGCCCGACCCACAGGCTGCGTTACAGCAGCGGCCGCGGCGGCCAGGCGCAGCAGCCGGGCTCTTCCACCGCTCTCCAGGGACGGAGGCGGGCGTGTGACTCAGCCTGGGGACCCCAGGACAGCTCCGCCTCCTGCTGCCGCAGCACTGCCCTGCTCACCACGCAGTCACCCAGACAGAAACCAGGCTCATCGCTCCCCACGCCTTCAGCCCACCTGACTCTGAGCCTCGCTGCCCTGTGCTCAGGTGTCGGTCCTTTTTTTTCAGGCGTCGGTCCTGATGTTTGAACTCTGACCGCCTCTCCGTGCCCCGCCCCTCCCCGCCACCCAGCAGGACTCCCCTGATCTCCCCGCAAGCTCCACCTCCCAATGGGTCCCTCCAGCCTCCCCGACCCTCTGATCCGTTGCTCCCTCCACCGATCATGCTCCTCCTCCGCTCCGAATCCCTCCATGGCTCCCGTTGCCTGCACAACCTGGTCCAGATGTTTCCAATGGTGCCTGAGGCTCCCCTCCGACTCTCTGCCCACCCATCCACCCTGCAAACTTCTGCCCACCCCAGCAGGTGCCCAGGCCCACTCACTGGGCATCCTCGCCCTCCAGCAGGCGGCGGTAGGTGGCGATCTCCTGCTCCAGCTGCGTCTTCACGTCCAGCAGCACCTGGTACTCCTGGTTCTGCCGCTCCATGTCGCAGCGCACCTGGGCCAGCTGGGCCTCGACACTGCTGATGAGCCCCTGCAGCTGGGCCAGCTGGGCCCCATAGCGGGCCTCGGTCTCCGCCAGGCTGTTCTCCAGGGATGCTTTCTGTGCCCAAGGGACCAGTAGCGCCATGAGACCCAGCCAGGACCCTTCCCTGGAGTCCAGGGGTGTGGGTGCCACCAGCCCAGGGGGCCGGGAGCTAGGATGGCCAGGGGCTGTGCCCCCGAGTCCCTCCTCCGGGGTGTCTGCGAGGCAGGGCCCAGCAGGACCAGGGGCGGGGGTGGGGGCGGGGGCCCACCACGCTGAGCTGGGACTGCAGCTCGATCTCCAGGTTCTGCACGGAGCGGCGCAGCCCCGTGATCTCGGTCCTGCTGCTCTGCAGGGCCTCGGTGTTGGCGGCCACCTCGCGGTTCAGCTCCTCGGTCTGCAAGACAGGGCAGCAGCGCGCTCAGCGGGCTCCCAGGGCATGCGGAGGCAGCCGGGCAGGGTGGGCGTGGGCCGCGGTGGAGGAGCCCACACCAGCTTGTGGCCACAGAGCCCCTTGGTTCTTCAGGTCCCGTGAGCGCTGCATGAACCGGGCCTCCTTGGGCCTTGCGTTTGCGGCAGAGCCGATCCCCAGCCCCGAGAGGCCCTTCCCGCGGGACAGCCTGGGACCCGCACGGCCCCACCTTGCTGAAGAACCACTCCTCCGCATCCTTGCGGTTCTGCTCCGCCATCTTCTCGTACTGGTCGCGCATCTCGTTCAGGATGCGGCTCAGGTCCACGCCGGGGCCGCGTCCATCTCCACACTGACATCCCCTCCAGCCTGGCCACGCAGGGCGTTCATTTCCTGGGCAAAGAGGTGTGTTGAGCTCAGCCAGGGCCACCTCGGGGAGGGACCCTGAGACCTCAGGCAGACGGGACAGAGAGACACACACAGGAACTGGCCCTTCCTCAGCAGGGGAAGGCGGAGGTCGGGTCTCAAGCCCCAGGGGTGAGCGTCAGCAGGCCCCCCACTCGTGGTCCCCGTGCGTGCTGACACAGGGAGGAGGAGGACCTCCTATCCCAGGCAGGGACGCCGGGCCCGAGCTCGGGATAAGCCACCCTTGCGGGGCGACCAGGCCTCGGCATTGGTCCAGGCCAAGAACAATTTCCAGGAGTCCTGCTACATGGGGGTCAGGCTCCGGCCCACGCAGCTGGGCGACAGCAACAAGAAGACCCCAGAAGCCTCCCTGGGACCTTGGACTCCCATGGGCTGAGCCTCAGGTCCCTAACACCAGGTGCGGGGGGGAGGGGAGGGGGGGCGGGGAGCAGCTGAGTCACGTGGACCTGAGGGCAGGTCCCCTGCAGCCTGGCATAAACCCCCGGCCTCTCTGCACTCCATTCCTTCAGGGACTGAAGGGAGCAAGAGTGTCCTTCCTTCCAGGAACTGTTGTTGCTGTGGCCAGAATACCCGCCATGCTGGGCCCCGATGGGCTCGCTGTGTGCCTGTTACAGGGATCGCCTCTCTCATTAATTATGATAATTAGCATCATGCGGTCCCTGATTCACTCATTAGCAAGTTAACCGCCAACCGCGAAGCCGCCAAGCCTCAGGAGCAGAGGAAGTGGCTTCAGGAGGCGCAGCCACCTGGGGGTCAGGGCCGGGGTCAGGCCAGGTGCCAGCCGCCCACCTCCTCGTGGTTCTTCCTCAGGAAGGCCAGCTCCTCCTGCAGGCTCTCGATCTGCATCTCCAGGTCGGCCCTGGCCAGGGTCAGCTCGTCCAGCACCCTGCGCAGCCCGTTGGTGTCGGCCTCCACGCTCAGGCGCAGGCTCTGCTCGTGCTCGTACCTGGTGGGGGGGCGGGGTGAGCACGGGCTGAGCACGGGAGGCCGCGGACCCCAGCACCCCCTGCCTGGGCGGGTGGGACCCGGACCCACTTGGTGCGGAAGTCATCGGCCGCCAGGCGCGCGTTGTCGATCTGCAGCACGAAGCCGGCGTTGTCCATGGTGGCCGCCAGGATCTGGGGGCGCGGAGGCACTGAGCGAGGGGCTGCCCAGCGGCGCCGGGACAGACTCAGGACACCCCTTTGGCATGGGGCCCTGGCTGCCTCACCTCTCGGCTCATCAGCTGCCTTCTCTGAGAAGCCCCCCACACCTTCTACGGCCCCCCCCCAGCCCATCTCTCTTCCGCTCCCCCTCAGCTCGCAGGGCTCTTGCTGCCTGCACTGGGTGCTCAGTCCCAGCGCAGCCGAGGCGGCCACATCTGCACTGTTCCCGCCGGGATCCCCAGGCCTGGGCGCAGGGCCAGGCCGAGTCAGACCCCGGGCACATTTGTCTAATGAAGGGATTAATTAGACAGTTGATGGATTGATTGATCAGTGAGGTTATGCCCGGCCCCGCCTCACACCCAGGCAAAGGTTTCTGCTCCCACGAGGTCAGGGGGCAGATGAAAGGTAGAAGGGGAGCTCCCAGGAGGAGCTCAGGGCAGGGCAGGCCCCAGGCAAGGGCCTGCGGAGCAGGGCAGAGGGGCTCCCCACCTGCCGGACGGGCCAGGCCAGCCCCAAGGCCCCTGCAGGCCCCGGATTCTGTGCAGCCCTGAGGTGGGCAGAGCTCAGGGCCAGCCCATCACCCTCCCTGGGCCTCAGTGGGCCTATCTGGAATCTGCAAGCACCCCCTGTGGACTCAGACCCGCAGTGAGCCGGGGGGCCGGGGAGCTGCTGGCTGACCCCAGAGCTCGAAGCACTGTCTGGACAGGATCCCCAGCTCCCTGCCCGGCCTGGCACCCTATCTGATCTGGCACAGGTTCCAGGGGAAGCAGCAGGAATTCCCTCCCTGGCAGGAACCCCGGGCAGGAGCAGGCGAAGCACTGGAATGGGTCTCCCTGGAGCTGGGCAGGCCTCAGCCTCCACGGCCTCTTTAGCACCCTCCACTCCCCGGGGCCAGCTTGGGGGACTCCCTGGCCAGCCCGTGCTGAAGGCCAACGCAGCCTGGAGCCCTGAGTCTGAGGGGGGCCGGGTCTCCTCCATCACGCTATCTTCCCCTTCCAGGAGGAAGCGCAGCTCCTGCCCTCAGGACAGGCGTCCTGAGAGAAGTCCCAGCACACGGGCTTAGTGTGCAAGAGCCCCCGAGGCCGGGGGTGGAAGGCAAGGGCTCCCATCCAGCAGGGCTGCGGCCAAGGTTCCGGGTGCTGAGGTGCCCGGCTTCCTGCTCCCACAGCCACACCCTGCGGCCCCCTACCCCGCACAGCACCTCTGCACCCCTGGCTCAGGCCCCATCACCCGCTGCAAAGGTCTCCCCGGGAAAGACCAGCTCTCCCTGCACCCCCATGTCCTCCAGCCTAGCGCAGGGCTGGGTCCTGGGCAAGAGGCGGAGGACAAAGAGGCTGGCGTTGGCGCCTGGAGTGCAGAGGGCAGGGGCAGGGTGCCCGCCTTGCTCCGCGGGTCCTCGATGGTCTTGAAGTAGGGGCTGTAGTCTCGGGCCGGGCCGAGGCCCTGCTTCTGGTACCAGTCTCGGATCTTGAGCTCCAGGTCGCCGTTGGCCTCCTCCAGCGCGTGCACCTTGTCCAGGTAGGAGGCCAGGCGGTCGCTGAGGTTCTGCATGGTCTCCTTCTCGCCGCCGCCCAGCAGCGCATCCGACACCCCAAAGCCAGAGCCGTACCCCCCACCCAGGCTGAAGGCATAGCCGCCCCCCAAGCCGGCCGAGAAGCGGGAGGAGGTGACTAACATGCTGCCACCGCCACCAGCCCCCAGGAGGCTGGGAGCCATACGGGCACCCCCAACACGGACAGAGGGCACCCGGGAAAAGCCCCCGCCGGGTGCACACAGGCCCTGGATGGAGCCAGAGGTGGAGAACTGGCGGATGCTGGTGGTGGCCATGGTGTCCGTGGTCAGGCACAGGGTCTGTGCGGCCAGGACCCTGGGTCACCTTTATAGCCAGGCTGGCAGGAGGCAGGGCCCCTGGTCCTTGATGTGTGCGCCCAGAGCCCCACCATGTAGTTTGCCTCCCTCCCGGCCGCCCAGGGCCTGGGGCTCAGGCTGGCCAGCGGATGGTACCCCGGGCCCACCCCAGGATCAGTGGTCCATTGTTTGCTCAGAACAAAGGTGGTGCTGAGCCCAGCCCAGGGCTGGGGTGATCCTCCGTCCTCAGCTGCAATTAGGAGCTGAGCTCATTCTTGGGGGGATCCAGAAAGGGCCCCAGACAAGGCTGCACAGGCCCAAGCCCGAGGCCGCGCAGGCCCCCGCCCCGCACTCCAGCCTGGCGAGGCCAGAAAAATCTGTGCCAGCACCCTTGCCCACACAACTGACCCCGGACAGTGCCCAGCCACACCCCAGGGAGCCCCCAGCTCTCTAGATCAGCCAGAGGAGACACCCCAGGCCTGGGGACCCCGAGTCTGACAACCATGGCCAAGAACCCCAGGGCCTGTGGAGCCAGGAATCAGGGCAAGAGCCTCAGTTTTCCCATTTTATTTATAAAACAGGACGAAGCCAGGCACAGTGACAGCCACTTGTGATCCAGCACTCTGGGAAGCTGAGGCAGGAAGATGGTAAATTTATACCCAGCCTAAGCAAGTGAGCAAGAGCTTAGCTCAAAATAAAAGAGATAAAAAGGCTGGGCATGTACCTCTGTGCAAAGGTCCTGGGTTCTGTCCTCACAAAAATAAATAAAATGTTTTGACTTCTATTGGTCCATGTCTGTGGTCCACAATGATTATATTCACTGTAAAGTGATTATATTCACTGTACTGGTCCACGTACACAACACTCAATCCTTTTTAATTTCCCTTCTCCCCCCACCCCTCTTTATTTTGCCAGCATCAGATTCATAATCCCAGCACGCAGGAGGCTGAGGCAGGAGAATCAAGGTCAGCCTGAACTACATAATGAGACCCAAAAAATATATATATAAACAAATACATAAATAAAGGCAGGCTCAGCACACAGCTCAGTGTGAAGGTCCTGGGCTCAGGGCCCAGTGCCCACACACACACAAGGAAGCAGGATAATTCCTGCCTCCCAAGGGTGCTGGGGGCATCAGGGGACACAGTGTGTCACACTCTGCCAGGACGGGACAGAGGTGAAGTTGGGCTAGGTCCGACCCCCTCACTGCCCCGCACCTCAGGGCCCCCAGAAGAGCACTGGGGCGGGGTGGGGGCAGCCCAGGGAAGGGGGATCCTAGCCAGGGTGCCCCAAGGAAGAGCCACGTCCCGTCCTGTCCCTCCCGGGAAGGGAGCAGCTCCACCCGGCAGGGAGATTAGCGGCCTCGGAGGCGGCGGCGCTAATGATTTAGGCCCTGCCAGAGCTGGCATCTGCACCACGCCTGCCTGCCCCAGTGAGGAGCCTGGGGGGCCAGGACCTGAGGGCCACGCGGGTGGCCTGGGCACAGTGCCTGGCAAGGGACAGGGAGGGAGGGACCCAACCCAGGTCTCCAGGAAGCTCTGGGTCGAGAAGGATTTCCCACTCCAATATGGGGACTGGCCGGCTGGGTCCATCCTTGCCCTCCTGGGGTCCAGGCAGGGACACACGGGGAGATCCCTGCAGCCCCTGCCTGCGCCCCCCAATCCCCCCCATATCAAGCTCCCTGGGTGGGCCCACTCCGCCCTCCGTCTCAGTTTCTGCATTTCCCCCCTTTGCTTCATCCTCAGGAAACCCCTTCAACGGCTGACAGCTCAGGCTAAGAAGACCTGGGCAGCGTCCTCTCAGATCACCACAGCCCCGCCGGGGGAAACTGAGGCACAGGAGCAGCATTAGCCTCAGAGCTGCCCTGGGCCGAGGCCCCGCAGCAGAGGTTGGCCGGTGGGGAAGGAGGCAGGGACCCGCGAGGAGGTCGGGGAGTGGGGAGCCCGTGTGTTGGGCCTGGCCCTCCCTAGAGGGCTGAGGAGGTGGCAGCTCCGGGAGCACAATGGGGAGCAGGATGAGGAGCCGGGGCCCCGCACATCCGCGTGCAGCTGGTGCTCCGCAGATGCTGCCACCGCCTGAGGACCTCGCTCCTGCGGGCCCCGGGCTTTAGTGCTGACCACAGGACAGTGCCACGGCAGCCAGAGCCCAGGCACGGCTGGTACGCGGCAGGCGCTCCGCGAGGGCCATGGCGTTGCAAGGGTCATGGACAGGGACCCGGGAGCCGTGTGGCCTCCTGCCGACCCCAGGAGAAGGTGGGCATCTGGTGAGGGGACGCACGAGCCTCGCCCACCCCAAGGACCGGCCCTGAGCTGCCCGGCCCCACCCACCAAGCTCCCGGGTGGCTTAGAGTGAGGAGTGGCTGCCCCGGGCTGGGAGACAGGGCGCGTGGGGGACCCGGTGACGCCCAGGTGGCAGCCTTGGCCCCTCCCCCAGTTCAGCCGCTCCCTGTGCCCTTTGCGGGGTGGAACCTGGGTGGCCCCAGACAGCAGAGCCGCCTGGCCTGGCAGGGACACCGTCCTTCAGCAGGGCCAGGCCGCAGGGGCCGCAGGGGCCGTGGCCCCGACAGAGACCTCTGTCCTCCACCTGCTCCCCCGCTCCTCCTTCCCTTGCTCCTTCTCCTCCCACTTCTCACCTCCCCTTCCTTCCTGAGGGACTTTGCTGGAAGGGCAAGAGGCCAGCAGCCCTGGTGGGCTCCCCACCTCTCGACTCTGCCCTGGGGACAGCTGGGGGACAGCTGGGGACCCAAGACACAGGAGGCTCCAGGCTCTGCGCCTCACACCCCTGTGCTCTTTCCTCTCTGTCTGTGCTTTAAGGCTCTGAACGGCTTCCCCTGAGGCCAGGGCCTCCCTCAGTGGGAACCTTGCTCAGGATGGCAGCTGGGCCTTGAGCCTCGGGCCCCACGCTCCCCTGGCACAGCGCCAGGGCTCCTCGCCCAGGTTCTGTCGCTGACAGGCAGAGTTCAGGAGCTGCCCGGCGCCCAGGGCTGCCTGTCACAGAGCCCCAGGAGCCAAAACAACCCACTGGGACTCGGGCCTCACGCATCCACAGGAAGGTGTCAATGGCCATGCCCTTGGGAGGCTGAGGCAGGAGGGCTGTCTCAAGTCTGAGGCTAACCTGGGCTACCTAGTGAGTTCAAGCTCAGCCTGGACCACACAGCAAGACCCTGTCTCAGACAGCCAAATAAAACCAACAGGTGGGTGATGGAGGGGGTGTGTGCCGCGTCCCTGCGTGGACATGAACCGGGCCGCCACCCCCACACACCACGCCGCTCCCTCGAGGGAGGGAAGTGGCTCCCAGGCAGGAAGCACAGCCCCGCGCCCAGGTCCCCAGCCCGGCCCAGCTTTCAGATTCCAGGAATGTGCTGAGCTGAGCGAGCTCCTAAAAGGAAAGACTTGAGCAACTGCCGTTCCTGGAGCCGCAGACTTTCCTGAAAGTACAAATCAAAAATCCAGACGTCCTTGTCTCCGTGCTTCCTAATTTTTTAAATTGCTTCTATCATTAAGCCAGCTGTGGCGGCGCACGCCTGTCATCCCAGCCCTTGGGAAGCTGAGGCAGGAGGACTGCCAGGAGTTTGAGGCCAGCCTGCGCTCCACAGGGAAACCCTGTCTCCAAAACAGACGGGTTCAATTGCCCCTCAGGAAGTCCGAGGGTGGGGGGTAGCGCAGGAGGGGCCTTGTGGGCCGGGCACGGGGTAGGGGCCGGGGGAGGACCCCCATCCTCTCCCAGCACCAGTGGGGGCCTGGCAGGGTCTGGTCGCCCACACTGCAAGCTGCCTTCTTCCCAGCGAGGTCCTGGTAGAGCAGGCACAGCCCATACCCCGGCACCAAGGCTGAGACCCGAGGGACGGCGGGACCTGCACAAGAGTCCTTTGAGCTCTATGTCCCCGGGGACACAGCCCAGCGGCACCGCGCCTGCCTGGCAAGCGCAAGGTCCTGAGTTCGATTTCTGGTACCAGAGCCCTGATGGAATAAACAAGTGTGCTTTAAGCCCCAGGCTTGTCATAATTTACTACAGCAGCACACTCCCTGCGGGCTCCCCGCCCTGCATAGCAGCCACTCTCACTCATGTTAAAATTGCCCAGCAGGGGGCTGGACCCCCGGGAACGGAACCCCTTTACAGCCCGGGGACAGTTCCTATCCACCCTGGACCCGCTCTAAGGTCCAGCAAGCGCCCGCTCATCACGTTCCCTGTGTGGCCATCACTGGGCTGGGTACTCGGAACTCAGCACTGAGTCAGCCGGCCGGCCCTGAGAGACGTGGGGACGATGGACCACGGTGAGGGGATCCGGGCTGCCCACAGTTTCAGAGGAGGGACAGCGGGGCGGGTGCGGCCGGGTGGGGACCAGTCCTGCCGGGTGTGTGCACCAGACCCGTGGCTGGGGCAGAGCTCACAGGCAACCGTGACGGGGCCGCGAGGACAGGAAATTGCCTGCCGTGGGGACCTGGCAAGCATCTCCACCCCAACATGGCCCCAACATCCCAGGATAGAAACAGGCACTCAACAAACCGGGACGGATGTATCCTCTGGGGAAGTACAACAGGGGACATGCGTGACCTGGTGGCCAGCGATGGCCTCCTGCAGTGGCAGCTAAGGGGGAAATCCAATTAAGGAAGGCGCCAACCCAAGCAGGGGGCGCACATCTGTAATCCCAGCACACAGGAGGCTGAGGCAGGAGGATCACCACGAGTTCAAGACCTTGTCTCAAAAAAAAAAAAAAAAACCAAGCGGCCAGCTGTTCACACCTGCAGGGACCACCACGGAGTCATGCCCCAGTCTATCTTGCTTTTAATGTCTACTTGTACATATTTTAATTCCACAGAAGGAATATTTTTGTTCATCTCGCCAATGCCTCGGTTTATAGTAAACAGTTTCTCTTTTTGTTTAGGGTGGAGGACAGATACTCGGGACTGAACCTAGGGGCTTCACCCTGAGCTACATCTCCAGCCCCTTTTTTTTTTTTTTTTTAATCTTGAGACAGCATCTTGCTAGATCACTAAATTGCTCAGGCGGGGCTCAAACTTTTGATCCTCCTGCCTCAGCCTCCCGGAGTGCTGGGTCACGGGCATGTGGCGCCTGGCACAGCTTACGTCTTTCTTTTTAATCCATTCAGGCCGCGAGCTGTAATTTATGACCCCTCCTCCCTCTGACAGCCAGGTTGTTTTGCTCTAACAAACACCAGTGTGAGGGCAGCGACTCAGCTCAGCAGTGCAGCGCCTGCCTGGCAAGTGCAAGGTCCCGAGTGCGATTCCCTGTCTCTAAACAAACAGTGGTGTCGTCCGCGTCCCCAGACA